TTGAACCGCCAGCCTTCTGGTTAGCAGTCAAGTGCCTTAGGCACTATGCTACCAGACCTCCTATAGATTATAAGAATTTATGCTAGCAATAGATTTTAAGTATATATTGTTTAATATTAAACAAACATACATGATCTTTGCATATATGCAAAATGAATACATAATCTCTGCCTGCTCCTAAGGAACAAGAATTTGTATTTATGTAAAATCAAAAAATGTGATGTTAAAAAAAAAAATACAAAGAAGAGAGCCTCCAAAGTGTTATTTTACCAGTGACTAAATTTCCTTGATCTGTTGGTAGCATATAAAATTAAGATTGAATGTCTGGACTAAAATTATGTGCTTTAAAGTTGTCAAATTGTGTAAAACAACAACAGCAACAACTGCAAATTTGTGTAGGATGTGTAACAGTAGTAAAGGAAATGGGGTTTAATCTCCATCATGATGTTGGAAATATTTTTATAATGAGCATGCATTATTAAGAAAACAAAACCAAAAAAAATCCCAAGTACTGAAATAATTTTTTTTGGTATTAAAAAATGTTTTTGAGGTCAAATCTGTTACAAAATATGAGAGCGAAATCTGTCTTAAAAATTAATGATGGTTTTTACACATTGAATAGCTACTCTTGCAGTGGCAATTTTACTGCTAAATTGAGATGATGTTTAAGTATTTTCATCTGTAGCTTAATGAAGTGGACAGTGTATCAGTAGGACTGAATGTACTACTCATGGCTGTTTAATGAATTGTGTAACCTTGTTCAAATCATCTGTCCTCTTGGACTCAGTTTTTTTATTTCCTAAAATGTGGGGCTGGAACTAGATGATCTGTCACATTTACAGTCTGTGCTTTTATTCATTGAACTTGGAGGAAATTAACAGTACATTTCCATTCCTTCTTTATAACTATTATAACCAAAGTAATAGAAGAGTCAGTCAATCCTTTTGGTATTGAGAACTTAGAGGAAATGTCTTGGAGGGAGAAATATGCAAATAAAATGTAACTTAGAAGCAGGACTTTAAGACTTAAGTGCTGATAATTTTTTTTTTCCATTAAAAACAATGACTGATTGTTGATTATAATCAAACCAGAGGATGATTATATTATTTATGGGCTGCACAAATCACAGGACCTCTGGTGGCTTAGTGCCTAAGGTATTGACTGCTAACCATTGTCTTCACTCTCTCTAAATGTTAAAAAAATTTTTTAAATATAATTTATTAGATGACCAGATGAGGGAAAGAAAAGAATTTTCCAGACATCATTCATTCTGATGAAGAGTATGATATTAAAAGAAGTTATTATTTAGATAATCAGATACTTCAATGTAATTTTTAGATTCAAGTTTACTTTTTAATTCTGGTTCTCCTTTGATGGTTGGATTTTGTTACTCATATGAGGATACACACAGAATTATCATTTTAGCACTGGAAATTAGAAACCTGTAGACTAAAATATTAGCTTCTTTCTTGTTTTTTAAAGTAGCTCTATTTTTTTTAATAATAAAAGTAATATATTACTATAAAGGTAATACATATCACAGATTATTTAGAAAATAGATGATAAGTAAAGAGGAAAAATTTAAAAACTAGTTACTTCATTACCCAAAATAACTACTGTTAACAGTTA